AGGGGATTTGGCATGCAAAAGTATAACTCATCTGGTATTGTTCGATTCATAAAGAAACGAGTAAAATCCTACAAACATATTAATGATAACCCAACCTAACATAACCGCCACAGCGTGCTGTATAGGGGTGCCTCCAGATAATAACAAAGTACCCGAGACTGTTTTCACTCTGAAAATTGTAAATTTGTTAAAAATTGTAAATTGCCAAAATTTTTCGGTTTTCGTGTAAACTGGTAAATTTCTCTGTCCGTACGGTACACTAAGAATCAATAACTTAATACTTAATCACTACAACTAACCTTTTAAACACAACCTAGGGAACCTAACAAAACCTAATTTAGCGTAACCAAACCCAACATAACCTATCCTAACTACCTTTGAACCTAACCAAACCTAACAAACCTAACCAGCTCGACCAGCATTTCTAATTAACTAAATTATGAAAATGAAGAGAGAAAAAATGCCAACCAGGGCCTAAGCCCAGGTTATTTTTGGTTGTGTTAGGCTATGTTAAGGTAGATTAACCCTCCGGGTGTTATGTGTCGTAAAAGCGACTCATAACACATCCGCTGTAGTGTTATGTGTCGCTTTTGCGACTCACAAACACTGTTTACGGCGACGGCTCTGGGACTGACTGAATCGGATTGAACTGGATCGAGTTAGGTATCGTTTTTTTCAGCAGATTCAGAGCTTTCTCCTGATGTCTGTTTTTATACGCTTTTCGTTTTAGTTCCGAAAATATTGTAACAGACAGCTGACGTGCGTATTTGTAAACAGCTTGGTTAACCTTGCACCGATGACTGTTTTAGTGTTAAAAATTAAAAGTGGTGATATACAAGGTGCATTATAAGAAGATTTTAGTGATTTTGAAGGGCTGGTTGATGATCCCGAAGAAGTAGGTAGTGATATTGATGTAAATTATCAGCCAGATTCCTAACTATGGTTAGGCTTGCATTCTTAGCTAAACGCTATGTACCGTACGGAAATCTGTTTTTTGCCCATAACTTATTTATTTTCAAACCTACTTCCTTATATTATTATATTTTTGGAATCCTCATAAAATTCTGAACAAAGTGGCTATTTTAAAATATTTGTAGACCTATAAATTATTATAACAATTTATTGAGCGCAAACATAATTTTTTTTTCATTTATTTTATAATTTTTGAGAAATGTTATCGGTCCCACAAAAATTGTTGAACTTTTTTTGTAATGTTTTATATTTTACATTGAAGCCCATAATTTTCCAAACAAAATGATATATAAAACAGTAGGCCTACTTTAAATAAATAAATTAAGGTGTTTATTCATGAGCGAATTTCAGTTACAAAACTGTTTTACAAATTGACTCAAGTCAGGACTTAAACTAAATAAAACCTCTTATAACTACGAAACAAAATAAGATTAGTTACAAACTCTTTAGGCGATTCTTAAAACTGTTGTAAGACAGTGCTTTTAGCTTGCAAGGAAGTGCATTGTACTGAGCCGGCCCGAAGTAAGAAAAACCCCTTCTACCAGCACAAGAACAACCCTTGGTATGTCAAGCAACAAGTCCTGTCTAGTTCTGCGCTCTCTCACGGCCGACCTCGCTTTCAGTTTTTCCTTCAAGTACTGTGGTGCCTGAGTGACCAGTGTTTTGTGGACGATACATGCAACCTGCTTATCACAGCTCTCTCGGACGGACATTGTATTTGAGATCTACGGTGACTTGTTATATGATCATATTTCTTAAGTTTGTATACGAACCTTAGGGAGCAATTCTGTAGCCTGTGAAGTATTGTGATCTGTTCCTGTGTTAAGCTGTATCCAAAAGTGCATCGTGAAGACATCGTAATCGTCTCCCGTGATTACGGCAAAATGTTAAAAATATCCCGCAGTCATATGGAGATCATTATCGTCTTCCACGATCGCGGCAAAATTCTGACTGTTTCCCGCGGTTGTGTAGAAATTATCATCGTCTTCTGTGATTGCGACAATATTCTGATCATCCTTCGTGGCTCTTTAGATCTCATTATCGTATTGCGCGATCGCGGTAAAATAATGATCATATCCCGAAGTCGTTTTAGACATTATCATCGTCTCATGCGATTGCGGCAAAGTTATGATTATCCCTCACGGCCTTGTGTAGACATATTATCGTCTCCTACGGTCACGGAAACGTCAATGTTGTCATGCGCCATCGCGGTAAATTGACAATTCCAGGTAGAAATACAAAATTCACGCCTAATTCCCGGTTCAAAAAAATGCATTCTTAATTCCCGGATTTCCAGGTTGATGGTCACCCTTTTATAGTCTATATATTGCAAAGGTGCGCTACTATTAGTTGTGCCTAGGGCGCTGACATATTCAAAAACGGGTCTGCCAATAGAATAAAAGGGTTTCCTATTATATTGTATCTATTATATACAAAGTGAAATAGAAAAGCTTCTTCAGTGTTGTTGAAAAACCCATCATTCCGATGTCGTATATTTGTCCTTAGCTACAATGAATGAACTTCCTCACCATCGGTATGAAGAAGAAATTTTATTTTTGGCAACCTAATTTGTTTTCAAAACGGTTTGATTTATTATGTTCATTATATTTAATTCAATAACCCAACAACTCATTTAACTTCTGGCAATACATACATTAGCCAAGTAAACTTTCCCATGACTATCAATTAGCTGACTACCTAGTTAAATACAAAATTAAAATCAACATTTATTAGGATTGTCCGCCAGCAAGAGATGCACATACTCTGTAGTCGCCTTTACCCACAAAAAATTATAGGAAGCGCCCTTTGAAGCATTTCAATCTGATATGGACTTGATTTGTATACGGAGAATATTAAACAATTTGATGACATTATAATTTACATTAGTAGCCTGTGCCAATATTATAGAAAACATTGAAGTAGCCTATTAAGAGTCTGTATGAGATTTTCGGTATAATATATGTCGGTATGAAAATGCCAGTTTAACTAAACTAAACTATAAATTATAGACAAATCACTTCAGTCAAAGTTGTCGTAGAGAAAACAAGGTATGTAGGCCACATGCACAGTTCGGTTCCTCCCATTCATTTGTTTTAACTTAGAGCATCTATTGGATCTGTATGGATATGTTGAAATTTCATCGGAGCTGTGTGATATTGAAAAAAAATGTCTGTGTGAATAACATCATTTGGAAGTAACTTATTTCTGTTGAGTTGTTGGACCTACAGGAATTGAAATTATCCGGAGCTATTACAATTGAATGTGCATCGGAGATACATAGGACCTTCCCAAGTAAATCTATTACAGGACATTTGAAACATTTTACTTATTTGTGGTAGGCCTAGTCTATTTCCATTTGCCTGATTTGATTTTCACTAAAATATTTTCTTAAACCTGCGATATTTATTCCCTATATTTAACTAACCCTAGTCTTAACGAGCGCTTAGATTTGCTGCTACAGTTCGGCCAAAGTTTCTGTGCGGGCGGCCGGGTCGCTACTAGCCGAACTAAAACATACGGGTGACACTTGTTGGTAGTGCTTGGGGTAGGGGCGAGTGAATAACGCCATAGATAAAAGGAGTATAGACAGTATAAGGACAGTAAAAGTAAAGTAAAGACAGTAAAAGGAGTATATATAGAGTATGTCTATACTCCTTTTATCTATGGTAATGCTGAGTAGCAAGCTACAAATGTTTTCACAAAAGTAGCCAGGCCAACCCCCTCACCCAGACCCAACGGTACTTTCCTGTTAAAGGGAACATTCATTATTATCGATGATTTTCAATCGATATATCGATATTAACGAATTGAAACTTATCAGCTGACAACTACGGTAAATAATTATTGTTCAGTATCAAAAAACAATTGAAATGAAACTGTTCCAAACCAACCTAACAAAACTAACCAAACTTGCCAATAAGATAAATAACATTTAAAAATTCCGTTTAATATTCCCCACATGCTTTTTCTGTAATCAAACGGAATTTTTAAAATGGTACAGCAAGATTGGTTGGTTATGTTAGGTCAGCTTAGAACAGTTTTAATATGGATTAAAACTGTTCTAAGCTTAGAACAGTGCGATAAGCAAACCGTCGATTTTGACGGGTTTCACCTAGTAACATTTAATCAAATAAAAATCAATTAAATATCAATATAACCATTATGGAATAGACTAGATTTTAGCCTGAACAAGATCAGTTGTCAATTTGTAATGGATCGTAAAGGGAAACAAAAATATCGATATATCGATTAAAAATCATCGATAATAATGAATGTTCCCTTTAACAGGAAAGTACCGACCCAACCAGTTCTGTCCGCGAGCATAGAAAAATTGGCCGAACTGTACAAGGGAGGTATTAAAGTGTATTTTGTAGTAAAATGTTGATAACTTGGCATGGAATAACTAGATTTACCAAATTTGATCAAAACATAAACAAGCAAACTACAATAGGCCTAGTATCACTTTTGGTTGACATTTTTTCTGTAACCATTAAATGTACAACGCTTAAGAGTACTAGATTAATATTATTATTTTTCTGAAATGAAATGAATACGGTAAGTGCTTTAATTACAAATCGTTATTTACATTCACAGGTCAAAAATTACACTTAATTAACAATGGTTAAATAACCGTCTTTAATTGCCTTTAAAATAAACAAATGTAAATATGTTAAATAAATAAGAAAAGAAAATAACATTTCTCTATTAAATGTTGATTTCCACTGAAAAAAAGAATTAGAAAGATCGGGTAAACAATGCATAGGATAAACAATTCAAAAATAGAGTAAATGGGCCTCAAAAAGAGACAACAAACATGACCAACCACACAGCAAAGCAAAAACAGGGGTATTTCTTTATACATTTAGTTAAAAATTATTATTTTTTAAAGTTATTTACAATGCTGTAGAAAGACATCGCATATATATATGCATTGACATTGATGTAACTTAAAAATTGACAAATGAAATTCACACAAGAAACTACCAAATTTTCCCTCTCTAATAGACATTTTCTTTTATAGGTCGGACATGGATGTGTGCATTTTCTGCCGAAACCAAACTGATGACGAGATCCGATTTGGAAAAATTCTCAAACTAGATAAGATTACAGTTCATCAACATTGTATGGTAAGAATGATGGTTTTTTATTTGCTACTTGTAAATTTATTTAAAATACAGTTTTTACAATAAACACAAATACAAAGTTGTGTCTGCACATTGATTCAAATAGTATACTTAAGGGTGCGCTCTACCCCTGACGCGCAACCGAATGCAAGGGTTTGCAAGATTACTATGTTCACCTGCTACATTGAAGGTAGAATCAAAGTTAAGGTCTCTTATTAAAGAGGATGAAAATTTCTATAGTTCTGCGTTTCATTATTTCATTTATTTTTATACACACCTTATAAACTGATTTGTAGGACAAGAAAAAAGGTCTTTTTAACTAGCCCTAACTTATTGAAAAAACTTTATTTGAAAATTTGAAAAACGCAGGACTGTTGATTGGTATTTGCACTACTATAAGCCATTTAGAGTGCGTAGCTATCATTATTGGTTAACTTGAAAACAGTAATCTTGGAAACCTCTGCAGGCGCTGTCCAATGGTGCAACATAGCAACTGAAGCCTGAGCTGAGATTTCCGAGCTGAGGTAAAGCCCACCCTTAACAGACTTTGCTGAACTATAATGCATATTGAACTAGATTGCCAAATTTAACAAATGTGTACCAACTAATAATACCAATAATAATAAAAATACCAACTAATAACTGAACCTTTTTAGAAATTAAGGCTAGGTTATTCACAACAAATTTAATAAACTTAAATTCTTACATAGCTGAAAAGGTAAACAAATCTCTAATACAAACAACAAGTAAATAAATACTTCAGCTGATTACTAAGAACAGTAATTCATAACATTACTAACTTGCTGACAAAGCCAGAAATAACAGGGTTGTCTGCAGTAGACAGAGAAACTTTCAAATAGATAAAAATGTTCTGTTTGTATTCTGGCATCCTTGTCACAATATTTGTCATTCTTGGTCTGTTTGAGTGTGCCTGCTGTTTTCATTATAAACATTTGTAACAATCAGTGACAACCATCTAGATACATAAACTTGACTATTTTAACATTGTATAAAGAATAATGTTGAGCACATGAGCAGTTATGAAAAAAGTAACAAATTAATCTAAATAAACCCTTCTTGAATGACATCTCGATCATGGCATGAGTATAAACAAGCAATAAATATTGCATGGCAGGATTATGGAGCTATTTACTAAAACTCTGTACTGTAATTGAATAATTTACACTCCTCAATCTAAACCCTGGCCCACAAAACTCAATTTTTTCCACGATGGAATGGCCTCTGGATCGTCTGAATTAACTATATAGTGGTTTAAAAATACCTTTTTACTATCAGACGATCCTTCGTAGTATGTGAGACTACAGCTGTTTCATGCTTTAAAGGAGCACATCTTCAGGTCAGAAGAACGTCAAGTAGTCTTCATTGGGATTAGATATTCCTCAAAGTGGAGTTCGTCAAAAGTGTAATAAATAGGTAACAAAACACATAGTTCACGAAAACACGAAACATTTAGAATTGGTCGACCAGACGACGGTAACAATACAGTACACGTCATACGGCGCAGGCTGAGGGTGAGTCGCGACTGACTGAGGGAATAGCGACTCCGTGTGCTGTGTGTTTTGTTACCTATTTATTTAACTTTTGACAACCTCCACTACGAGGAATATCTAATACCAATGAAGACTACTTGACGTTCTTCCGACCTGAAGATGTGCTCCTTTGAAGCATGAAACAGATGTAGTCTCACATACTAGAAAGGATCATTTTGACAGTAACAAGGTATTTTAAAACACTATATAGTAAATTTTTTTACTTTGTCCATATTTTAATGGATTTGTAAAAATTAATCAATTAAAAAATCTGTAGCTTCTGACTGAATATAGTTAATGCACTGTCTCATACAGGGTGAATAAAAAGTCAAAACCTCCCTCTAATAATTTTCTAAGTAAATATACAGAGATATCTTTTTGGTGGCCGTGCAATCTAAACAGGAAGTTTCTTCTTTATGATTTTGAAATTGTTGAGTGTCCCCCAAAAGGGAGGATTTGGGGGGCAACTCAAATATTTTAAATATATGTTTTTAGATTTTTTTAACATTTTACAGTTTTTATCGCCAGCTCTAATTCAGAATGGAGCCGAGCATGAAGGTCTAATGGGGTTTTTACCCCGAGACCTTCTTAAAGAAACAAGAAGGGCGGCAAAATTGGTAAGATTTTTTTATATTTTATCTTAAATTTGTGTCCATAACTGTTAGTAATTATATAATGATTGCTTTTTGCTCGGGTTGAGGTTAAAAATAATTTTACCTACCACAGTTTTTAAAGTGGCCATTCCAGTTCAGTTCTTAGAATTGAAAAGTGGTACAATAATTAGTGTTTGGTACAATGTTTTGTTGCATTACTGTGAGTGGCAATGAGAGTTTATAGGCTAAATGAAAATATAACCTCTCTTAGAAGTTATGAGTAGTGATTTTTAGTAATTAAAAACACTGTTGTAGGTAAACAAGTGTATGCAACTCGCGTAAATAGTGTTTACCAACGACAGTTTTTTAAAGTAGACATTTCAGCTCAGTTATTAGAATTGAAAAGTTTCACTAAACAGCTGGCAACTTGCGTAAATAGTGTTAACGACGCGAGTAGAAAGTTTAAGCTACGAGCCATGGCGAGTGCCTTAAGAACTTCTACGAGTGTCGTTAACACTATCTTTAAGCAATCGTTGCGTAAACTACTATAAACGCCAGGGTAGCCCATTGTCCTCCCAATTATTACATATTAGCATTATATGTCCCCTCTTATTAGTGTATACTCAATGCTCGGTGACGGACACACAGCAGAGTCATGTTGGCAAGAGATCCTTCTTTTTCCGTTTTATTTTACAGACTGAGAGTGTGTGCATTTGGGGTGTTCGATAGCTCGGGGTAAGGCTTTTCAGGGTTTATGGTCGGGTGGCTGCTTTGATTTTTGTAGTGTTACAGTTGCTGTTTTCCAGTTTTGTCAGTTTCAATGTTGTAGATCAGTTTAAAAACTGTAGCGCTAATGTATGGTCTTTTTTTTATTTAGGAGAGCATTCAATCCATTAATATTTACATGCTTGTATGTTTGGTAGCTTTCTTGTACTTTTGCTTATTTGAGTGGGTTTTGTTCAAAATAGTGAGGGAATCGGGGAAATGTTATTGTCAACCACTGATGTGAGGCTGTTATGATGAGTTGCTTTATTTTTCAGACATGCAGTTTCTGTAAAAAGAAAGGAGCGTCACTAGGGTGCGAAGAGCGGAAGTGCTCAAAAAAATTTCATCTTCCGTGCGGACTAAAAAATGGTACACTACACCAGCACTTCGGGGAGTACCAGTAAGTTCTCCTTTTATTTCTTTTTCTAATGTCATTTGATGTATATTTGTGCTAAAAGTTTTTCAACATCAAAGATACCTAATTTTAGATTCTTAAATAAATAAATACATTTAGGTTCATCATGTTTTACTGCACAGAGTGCACACCAAAAATGGCATATCTCAATTGTTTTTTTTTTTTCTTAGAAACAGTTTTCATATTCCATGATGAAATTCATATCTAAGATCATTGCACTGTATATAGGTTGGTTTGAGCACAGTCTTTGATATCTCGACTCGTTTGATTTAATTTAGCCTTACAAATGACTTTCCAAAGGTCAACATTTGAAATTTTGTTGTCTAGTGTTTAGACTGCTTAACTGTTAGATTGTAAATAGATGCAAGATCCACTGTAAAGTAATGTTATGTTACTTACACTCAAAAATAATCACCGAATCAAATTATTTTTGCCTTTCCAGACTTACATATGAAATCTCAAAACCTATCGATAACAATTTTAGGATATAGCTATTTTATAAGATGATCACAATAGTAAAAACATTTTACAAGCGAACAGTTAGTTTATTGTTATTTTGAGAGTTTAAACTTAGTTACAGCTTTTTTATTTTCTAATCGCTACCTCATTGCTATAACTCAGATATTAGACAGATTTCAGTGTTAAGCTTAACTTGAATTGAGCTAGTATGGTTTAGTGATTTGGTACTGTACAGAAAGTAATTTTTATGAAAGAATAAGGAGTATTGAGTTATTATCAGATAGTGAGTTATAATTTATATATTTTTCATAGTCCAGTGATAGATTTATCACAAAAATGCTTGTAAATAACATTTCAGTCCTATTGTAAGTTTTGCAAATATTAGCTTATTTTTTCCCCATCTAAAAATAACATACTTCAATCAGCTCCTACTTGTCCTTACTGTGTGTGGACTTCTATCAAAAACTTTGTATTTGTTATTATTATTATTATTTATTTATCATAATTATCTAATTTTTTATGTTCATGAGGAGGAAAAACATGATTAAAATAGACAGAATAAAATCAATCAAAAATTAATGGGGCTGAATGTGTTCAACTAGATATTAGTTAATAGTATATCCATATAATGTTTTACTAATATTATGTTGAAAAAAACGTTTAAAATCTTGTGCTTCAGTTCTTTTTGCCATAAACATCGCCCGAAGCAGGATCAGCCAGACAACCCACAGAACCCTGGTGACCCAAGCAGTAACTGTGTTATATGCTTTGAGGAAGTTAAGCCATCGGACGACAAGCTATATGCTCCTTGTTGTAGGAAGGAGGCTTGTTTCCACCGAAACTGTATCCAGGTATTAGACAATTTATTTATTAATCTCTAATGACACAAAACTAACTTTTTCTTGTACAGTTTTTCAATCGGATGGATACAGACTTGACATGCACAATATTCTACACAAGTAGACAGTAGAAAAATTACTTTTAGAAAGACCATCTGTGTTTATATATTACATTCAATAGTATTTGCGACACACTTTTCCTGTACTGAGAACAATATTTTGTGCTTGGTCGCAATCGTTTGCCGGGGTTAGCTCAGTCTACAATTTGGCCGGGTGAAATTCCAGAGTCTGCGACGAGGGAAACCACTAGGCCAAAAGCTGGGTCTGACCGGAATGGGGCTGGCTCATACACGGACACTGTGAACAAGTCGAAACATGTAATCAAGCAAACGTGCAATTGTCACCACCAGGCCTATGCCGATTCACGATTCTGCACTCTCCTAGGGGGTCGTTGCTGACTACACAACTCGGGCTTCATCCTAACTATCCAATAGTTAAGCCCAGAGAGCCTAAAACAATGTGAGTGACGCGCTAACTTGCCAATAATAACCTCAACGCACGTTATCACCAGTCAGGGTCTACTCGGCTACTAAAATCCAATACACGACCCTAATATGCCCAAGCTAACAATCATACAGTAGTTCACTCAATAGTCTATCTACAATAATAGGTACCAAATAAAATCAAAGTATCGGCAGAGCAACTAAACACCTAGTAGCTGGTCTCAATAAATACCAAGCCAAATGGCAAAATTGAATGCCAGTCACACTTTTATTAAATTATTGAGATACTTAGTAGCAGTGTAATAAATAGAATATCTTAAAAACACTAACTAAATATATCCGATAGCCGGTACGACGCTATACAAACTACCAAGATAACGTGTTGGATTAACTAAGTAACAAGCTGTTCAGCTTAAATTAAAATCATGAAATGACCAACCAATAAAACACTACTACTATCAAGGTGATATTAATTAGTTGGGCTTCTAATTAGTAGGCTAACAAATTTAACTACTAACCTACTGGTGACTTTCAGTAGACAAAGCACGCCAAATCCTGTAGCCTAGGTTTGTCGGGCCTCAGAGTTATTACCAGTACAAAAATTAACTTATGGCACATAGCAATGTAATAATTACCAAAGACCATAAATATATATTATTTGTGTTTTGGCGCTTGCCCAGATCTGTTAGGAATATACTTTTATATTACTCCTGACACCTGTAAACCCTAGCTTCTGTCAGGCTTAAACCAGCACAGGTACAACTATAAGAGGCGGTTTTCAAGCTCGGGTTTGTCGTAGTCCGAGCCCAAAATCCGGAAATAACCGATATTCGCGCTGCGACCTAAAAATCAGGTTCACGAGCTCGAGACTTTTTAAGCCGCGGACCAAACTGATAGGCTCCACACAATTAGTGTAGGGATAAAACCTGGTTTTAAAAGTTGGATTCACGAGTCCAATTAATTACAGATAGTCCCGGCTCTGATCATTAGTCCCGGTGGGTTCACGAGTCAAGTCCGAGCTCAAATGAGATGGTCAGAGCCCAAAACAACAATGGTGTTTGGTCTCCAACTCTCAGACCTGGTATGAGACAGGTTAAAGGTGACATCATGCCGGTTTTATCTAATTAGCTCCTTTATTTTTGATATTTTTTTAAAAACTAATGTTTATATATGGTTCCTCATTAAATTCCGAACGATTTCATTACCCACAACGTCAAACGTCATATTAAAAAAAATATGTAAAAATGGTAAAAAAGGCTTATAAAACGTAAAAGAATTCATAAAAACAACTTGAAACGACAAATAAATTATGCACGTAACAAAGTATTATCATTACAAAGACATTTTTACTAATTTACTAATTTCCTTTTTATTACAATTTTAACGATAAAATTATGTGTAACACATAAATATAACTAATCAGACACACTTAAGCCATTGTTATCCAACATAATTATCAGATATAGTTAACTGCTGTGGGAAACATCAAGCGAATTGTAAGTTGTTGAGACTGGTTGAGCACGGTTAGCGGTGATGATTTGATTATGTTGACAACTAAATACCACCACTACCTCGCATACGACCAGCTCATTATCATGAATACAACCTTTTATGACTTGATGAATTTAATAATACATTAGAACCTCGCTAATTCGAACCTCGGCAATTTGAAAACCTCTATAATTAGAAATGTTTGTCTGTTCCTCTCAGAAAACCTCTAAAATCCGTAAAATAATATACTGTACCGATGATTCGAAGTGATTAGTACGCTTAATGCAGCCTCTACAATTCAAATTTTGTTGCCATAATTCGAATTGTTACCTCCAAAATACGAAGCCAACCTCTACAATTCGAACTGCATTGCCGCAAACCTCTGTAATTTGAATTTAGAACAAAAAATATGCATGTTCAAACATGAACTGGCGCTTTTATTGATGTTCCCATGATGTGTTCATTAGTCTCCGATCTTTCAAACTCTCTACACTTAAAACTGGGACCTCCATAATTTGAATTTGATTTATTCTGGCCTCTATAATTCAAACTCTCTATATTTCAAACTTCTTATAATTCGAAATATATTGGCTTTCCTCTGAAATTTGATTTAGCGAGGTTTTACTGTAGATTTAGTTTTTTCAAAAATGCCGTCAATGAGTTATTTGAGGCGTTCTCTCCAAGGCACAGATTTCCCGAAACTGGTGATTTATTGGATGTTAGTAAAGCTTGGATGGTTGCTATTTGTTTGATAATGAAAGCAGAATACATAAAATTTCCAGCTCAAAACTATGCCAAAAGTATAAAAACAACAGGGTTTCAACATTCTGGAAAGTCAGGGATGGTCATTGACAGTCATAGGAAAAAATTTTGGTCATTGAAAGTCATGGAAATAGGCAAGTAGTCATGGAAAGTCATGGAAATTTGCAATGATGGATGGATTTGAGGGGACTATTCAATGCTCTAGTCAGCCGTAACCCTGACTGTTGTAGCATTTTTCAGGATTTTTTACAAATGTTCGACAATTCAATTTATTACAGCTTATTACAATTTATTACATTATTATTTTATGAGTTTTGAGTTTCTTTTAGTTCATTGTTGTACCTATTGTACTCTATTGTTTTCTGTCAAAACATATTTAAGTATTTTCTGCAAAATAACATGTCTAGGCAGTATTATTTGTGTGTGTATGTTGTATTATAATTTTTGAGTAAAGTTCGTGAGTCATGGAAATAAATAATAAATGGTCATGGATAGTCATGGAAAGTCATGGAAATTAGTGAAAAAATTTTTTTGGACACCCTGAAACAATGATCTTCCTAAATATGGACGTGTTTTAACACCAACGAAACTGATTTAAAAAATCGCAACAACCAAAATGTAAATAAAAACAAAACCATAGCTGTTTACATAACTAATATTACGAGCGAACTACAGTACTACAGAATATTATTTTCAACATTTTACAGCTAGATTATTTGAGACTAAAGAGTGTAAGAATAACGAAAAAAATGTTCTTAGATTTCAAACTTGATTTTCCCTGATGCTTAGCACATACACACGAGTTTTATATCTAAATAGTCAGTACTTCTAAATTCATTTTAGTTTCAATACTTAATAGTTCTTCCAATTGTACTATTTAAGTAAGTTTAGATCAAATTAGCCTATCAAAAGAAAAAACACCCCACATTAGCGCATTTATGAAAAATGGGCTTTCATCCGGTTATAAATACCCGGTTATTTTATGTCATGTACCGTATATCTTAAGTTTGCATGAATCAAAATTATGCACACAGAAAAATCTACATTGCTTAAGATTTCAATTATCTGATTTCATGCAAACTTTTCATACAGGCTTGTGTTTATAAATCAACAAGATTTGATGGAGACGCATGGTTGCGGACTTTTAAGTCCCGAGCTCGTGAACCATGGCCCCTAATCCTTTTAATAAAATCAGGGAATAAATATTCTCAAGATTTTATTTTACGATATCACAGCCAAAATACAAGGAAAGTCGTCACTCACCAGTTCTACCCATCTCTCTACCCAACTTAACTCCACCACTCACTGCTCGATTGCACGAATCCACCATGACACCAATGTCACTAACGAACTCGACGTCTCCCTAGACCAATTCTAGACCAATCACTGCCGCTTGCTTCCTTCATAAATAGGTGCGCGGCCAAACAACAAAAACTTTCCCCACTAGGAAAATAGCCGTTTGAATCTTAAATTATCTGAAATTAATTTTACTAAACTCCCATTTTAGATTTTCCATTTTTATATTAGTTTTTGTAGCTATCCCAATTGTGACTAAGCTTTAAACTGCAAATTGGTAATTTTCATTTCAGCAAACAGCTCTTAATGCTGGATATCAGTTCCGCTGTCCTCTTTGCAATAATGAAGAGGAATTCGTCCTAATAATGAAGAAATTTGGAATCTATGTCCCTTCCCAGTAAGTGATATATTTTACAGCATACATTAGTGTACCTAGTTTATAGTTTAGATAAGAATTTAGATCAGTATCTCATACATAGAGTAGATACACCATCTTAGTAAGGAATTTGCACATCGACCATCTTTTAGCAAAAATAAATTCGGGGATTTATACCTTTGAAAGATTGTATTATCTTTGTAATTTATCTGTTTTAATGAATGTTTTTCACGCCCATGTGCAATCCCATATATCTTATGAAATTTGTGTGTACGGAAGAAAAACCAAACAAGACCATGATAAAATTTTAGTTGGTCAAGAAAAAGCAGAAAGAGCCATGTTAAATCTTTAGTCTGATGAGTCTGCAAAGGGACATTACATTGAACAACATTTGAATTGTTTACAGTTTGTGCATCCTAGAATGTGTAACACAGTTTAAAAATAATGAAGACAATAATAAAGATTGTAACTCATGAGGACATACATGGTTACAATACTAGAAATAAAAGTCGTATAGTATTACCATCTTATAACTCCAAAGTGTTAAAAAGAAATCATCCTATGCTGGTGCTGTATTTTTATAATATATCTCGAAAGAAATACTGATAATAGAAAATTGTACAACATTTAGAAATGCACTTAAAAAGTTTTTAAAATGGATTTTATTCTTTTAAAGAGCTATATAAATTAAGTAATGTGAATGCTGCTAAACTATTCTAAAATTAAAATTATCTGAAATGTATTAGGTTAGTTTTAAGTCTGAATTGCTTATTATATAGTGTCACTATTTATTTTATGTTATGTACATGAACAAATGAAGACGTTTTGAGTTTGATACGGTAGATGCAATCCACAATCAGCTTCTCGCCTTTGGCATTGAGTTGAACCTTCTGTTATTGTGCTCTGATTAACTTAGATGTCCTAAATTGCTGAGGAATTACAATATCAGTGATTGCTTAATCTTCTAAGACCCTTCATAACACTATTACTGACTTCATATATGGCTTATGAATTAGTTATTTGATTCATATAGTTTTAATTAAACTCTAACCTATTCTTTACTTCTGTAACTAAAGAAGGAAATGTCATAATATAAGATAAAATAAAATCATTTAACTTACATTTAATTCATTACATTACATTGCATTACATTCACTTTATACAAGCTATGTACATATAGTGTCAATGGAGTACAATTTATTATAATAATCACATACAGTACACTCCTGATTATCCAAGCCCCGGTTATCTGAACCCTCAGGTTATCCAAGGTAGCTTTTAGGTTAAATATATTTTTTAAATTTATGGTTGGAACACAAAAATTACCTTAAAAACGGATGTTTCTGTATAACCTAAAGTAAAAGTAGCAAGTAACTTGTGATTTTTAAAACTATACTGTCTTACATACAGTTTTTCTGTTTTGTTCAAGTATTATTTTAATGTACGAATGTTATAACTAGGGATGGACGAGATTGGATTTTTAGTTCGAGACGAGACGAGACGAGATTTTTTATTTCTCATAAAATTTCGAGTCGAGATCGAGACGGGATTTCCCTTCTCATACACAACGGGAACACAACAGGAAATGCACGTTCAGAATTTTTACCTGATTTTGTAACATTGTTAGATGACTGTTTATATACAAAAATAATGATAATAGGCAAGAATATTTACAATCTTTTATCAAAAAACATCAGCATAACATTTTTTTATTAATCACGCCTAACTTATTAAAAATGCCTACGATTAGGAAACATAGTGATATCAGTTAGGATAGAGTTCAACTTATCCTAAAATAAAATAAAATATTAATTTTTATAAAATAGTTACTTGTTTTGACTTTTTTTATAGTAATAAAACATTCCTCACACTGCTAACACTTAACAAAACTTCTCAAATATTATTAAAATAATTAAAGTAATAATTTACATTTGAAGAATTAATTAAAAAAGAACGCCTTCGCAAAGCAAACGCAACTACAACACGCTCCTGTATTGCGGTTATTGCATTGACTTTCTGCAGGCGTTTTAATTTTTAATTTTTTTTTTCTCGTCTCGATAAAAATCTCGGCCAAAAAGAAATCTCGTCTTGTGTAATGAGATTTAAAATTTCCCGAAATTTTGAGACTTGACCATCTCTAGTTATAACCTAGAAAATGATAATCACAAAGTACTGTACAGTACCTCCAAACGTTGGCAAGCTGGGTGAGCTGTGAGATAGGTGCACGACGTAGACAATAGCAGTGGCATTATCAGCTCAAACCGGGAAATTCCATGAAGTCACTGTTACAGTACTATTTAGCGTCTGTACAGTTTTTGTGCAGTCTGCAGTTTGTCGATCAGTCAGTGCTTCATTGTCAGTCTGTCATAGTTAAGGTGTTGTTTGAGTGACGTTTGTTATCGTGTTTATCTTAACAGTATAATGAGTGAAAAACGTAAAAGGGTGGTGGTTTTAATTGAATGTTGTTGTTTTCTTTAATAACGCCACTTGATTCTGAACATTATTTGCATTAAAATTACATTTTATCAATTATATTCAATGTAAAAGCCATACATTATAAGTATTTGACTTCCTAATATGGTACCGTGACTCCTAACCTCAAAATCTAAGCGACCTCTGTGTTATCTGAGATTCTCCATTTCCGAGGTAGTCTCGGTCCCATCAACCTCGGTTAATTGGGAGTGTATTGTAATTGAACCTATACATTGGGGATCACATTAACTTAAACAGCAAACTTCTTACTTTCATCCCCTATATAGTATGTGGAAAAAGTCAGTGGGGGCTGATCCATAAGGACTCTGGGAGTACTCCCATTTTGAAGATAAAAGTAAAAATAGTGAAAATAAACTTAAATAAGATTTTTATTCCTGCAGGATCAGTGTTTTTAGGACGGGTGATAATGGACACAATATATTTTTGCAACAGGTAGTACACAGGGAACTGCATGGAAAAATTTGACCAATCACAGCCCTGCGTCAGGCTCTAATGCAATAGATATCGGGCTTTTGGGACTCTGTCCAAACAGTAGTTCTAACTATTGCCACAACGAGCGCTGAGCACTGGGATTTGTTGACTGTCCCAATATGATCAGTGAAAAGTGAATTCAGTACCTATCTAGTGATTTGTAGAGGTTATGTTCATCGTGCTGCTAGTATTCGGTGTTAACTAACATACCAAATTGTTTCTCTAGAAATGTTCAGGGATGCTAGTGAATTCTGTTAAAAATATTTCTGCAAAGTATACGAGTGGTGAGGACAATTATTAATAATGAATAAAGAGACAATTAAGATAATAATGAATAAAACAGTTTATATGCAAAAAATTGCCTAAACCAAAGTTTGAATAACTCATTTTTTCTTTTAACTAAGACCCTTCCCTGGTAACCTCCCCAAAAAAAATGTTATGCGTCCTCTCTCCTCCCACTACTTTAACCCACCAGCCGACACTGGTAAAAGTAAGGTTTTTCTCAACATTTTTGAGTTTGAGTTTTGATCTATTTTGGGTCTCACTGATAAAAAAAAGTGATTTCTGAGTATTGTGTGTGTGTGGATTTGTCTCAACTACGTACTGTTCACCCTGAACCCAAAAAGTGGTTTTTGAAATAATGTCTGAGTGTGTGTGTGTCTGCATTTGGATGTGTACAGAGCTACAGACTCCACCTGTGGTCCGATTTTGATTAATAAAGTATCCATTAGCCCTTGGCCTACAGCAAAAAATGATGGCTATTTTTTTTCTGTCTATAGTAGACGAATAAGACAAAATTTTAATCACAGTTCTACGATGTCCCGTTGTCAACACAACAGGCTACCAAGTTATATTTTGGGGCGTTGCACCGACATAGAATTTCTTGGAAGAGAAAAGGGATGCCGGCCACCCCAGCGCTGTTTCATAAACAAAGATTAGTACAGGACAGTTTCCATGAGCAAATCAACAGTCATACACATACAATTAAAACACTGTTCATCAATCTTGTAAACAATGATTTTATTTCTACAAAGAGACCAGAAACCAACTACGTACCGTATACTGTATAGTGTAACAAATGAGCTTGTTATTGCATATTTCTATCTCAAAATATAAGACTTTTTGTAACTGAGCAGAATGTAGATGGATTACATTAAAACCTTAGGACAGGAATATAAAGCCAACACTATTTTGTTAAATCTAAATAAATATTTATAGGGACGCTGCATGGGAGCAGGAAACCAACGCGTTTGGTGAACTGCTGGTGAGGCACAGAACCTGTGACAGCAGAAATTGTGCGTGCCCCACTGGAAGACAAACTAACAACAGAAATACGTAAGTTACAGTGTTTTAGAAACTAAGCTGAAGCTCTTACTTATTCCAAGTTTAACACATAGTTGCATTACATTATATAATAAACAATTTAAACAAGCGTTGGCTTTGGCTACTGCAGAACAAATACCCCGCCACACGAAACCTGCAGACTAAGCAAATTTCCATTTGCCTGAATAAATTTTTAATTAAATCTATTTTAAAATAACATTAGGTTCAACAAGTACCTAGGTTTGCTGCTACAGGGAGGCTAATAAATTGTGTATTTTAGTAAAATATTAATAGCTTAGTATAAAATAAATAACAGGGTGTATACCTACCGGGAGAACCACCTTGAATTTGAAGGGAGCTGGAAAAAGCCGGGATTTTTGGGCCGATTCCGAGATATATTTGTTTTAGCCACGGTAGAAGATTGAAATCATAAAACTGAGCATTTGCCCAGATCGCAGAAGTTTCCACCCCGCGGGAGACGAAATGACGTCTAGATGTTCATGATTTTTCCGCGATCGAGGATAACTAAGATGACGTTTCCGTAACCGGTAATGAATTACTTTGGCAAACCATCAAACTCAGTGGCTGACACAACAATGTTAGTAATAGTAGTTTAAATAATGTCAAAAATTATATTTTAGATTGTAACTGTAGTAGCACATTTATTAATTTGAATGGTAAAAATAATAATGAATGAATTAATTAGTATATTTCACCAGAATATTGAGCACCTTGCATCCATAATTGATCTACTACTAATTACTCTGGAAGAAATTAGTCCCAAAATTGATGTATTGACAGAGCACAAATGTATAAAAAGTTATATTTCTCAAGCATGTTTAATTAAGATAGTTATGAATTGGTTACGCATTATTCAAGGGATAAAGAACCAGGTGGGGGTGTTTCAATTTTTGCAAAAGAAGGCTTAACTTGCAAAGAAATTGAAAGAAACAAAAAGGCAGTAATAAAAAATGGAATGGGTGAATAATAATATAAAAAAAGAAAAAGAAAATCTAATTAGTTTGAATCAAGAACTGAGAAGCAATACAAGTCCATTTATAAAATGCTCCTACTAACACACAAAAATAACTATTAACGATGAAAAAACTAGTATTTTTCAAATTTAATACCGTAGTTGAATCACAAAACAGGCCAAAACAACTTTAGGCCAGTAAAATTAGTTAAAAAATTGACCGTACCTAGAAAAATTCCCGGAAAGCTGGAAATTGTTTTAATCCTTATGTGTTATGTAGGATTAAAAGGATTTGAAGTTTGTCCCATTTTTCCAGGTGAGCTTCTAACCTAGGACCACAAAAACCTTGAAATTTATGGTTATTTTTTAGTTTTTGCTAAAACGTCAAAAAAATGTAGCCTACAGAAAAACACATTATAATCCCCCATCCATTGAGTATCTGGTGACGAAAATTGAACCAATAATAAGTGATTTATAGTAATTTAAATAAAGTTATTTTATTAAGAAATTATTGAACATCGCATATTTAACATTTATATTAATTCTACAAAATGGATTCCAAGTACATTTTTATTTAGAAGTAATTAATATGAATTACAACAAACTGATCAGATTTTTTTGTCTCTGTTGTGGTGAATCCGGAATTGCAGGTCTAACTTCCTCCTCGTCTGTATTTGTGGGGTATTTGTGTATTTGTGGGGTGTACGCACATCACAGCTTATTTGTGGTTTTTCTTTCTCTGGTGGATTGGTGCAAGAAACACCTTTACAGTGTTGTACATTTGACTCCGTTCTTCCAACAAATGTTAAAGCTGCACCACCGGATCTTCTTAACACTATCTCATGTAAGTGTGTAAAAGTGGTTGCACTTAAAGGAAGAACGGAGTATTTACTTTGTAAATAATAATGTACTTGGAATCCATTTCCTAGAAGTAATATAAATGTTAAATATGCTATGTTCAATAATTTCTTAATAAAATAACTTTATTTAAATTACTACAAATCACTTATTATTGGTTCGATTTTCATCAACAGGTAATCAATGGATGCAGAATTTTATGTTCTACAACTCCATTACGATATGTTTTTCTGTAGGCTAGACAGTTTTTGACGTTTTAGCAAAAACTATAAAATAACCCTTAATTTCAAGGTTTTTGTGGTCCCAGGTCAGAAGCTCGCCTGGAAAAATGGGACAAACTTCAAATCCTTTTACTTCTATATAAAAAATGCCCCCGCCGTAGCAAACCTGCAGACTAAGCGAATTTCCATTTGCCTGATTGGAATTACACTAAAATGTCTCCTTAAAAATATCACATTTATTCCTTATTTAAATAACATTAATTTAACGAGTACTTAGGTTTACTGCAACAGGGAGGGTAAAAAGGGTTTTTTTTCTAATGTAATAGTTTAGTATGAAATTAATGAATTTTCCAAATTTGATCAAAATATGTTCATAAACAAGCAAACTACAACAGAACAGCTTATTCTCCATAAAAATAACATGGTAATTTTAAATTTACAGATTTTTGGAATTTTCTCCGTAACCATTTGGCGCATATTATCGCTTCAATATACTAAATTATTTGTTTTCTTAAGCTCTACAAAATGGTTTGGAAAGAAATTGCTAAATTTTAAGTTTTTAGGGTAAAAAATGGGAAAAACCAATTTTTACCCCATAAAACCCCCATAAACCCCTGTTCCCATAGTCCGATCATGCTGGTTCGCGAACTCGTTCGAATAAACATAGGTTTACACGTTTGTACCAAATTTCATCAAAATCAGATGATTTTTGCTTGAGTTATCGCGCTAACGGACACATATATATATATATATATATAAATATATATATTTATGAATTTAAACGGATGGTGTTTTGGTCTCTAGGGACCTCAAAACGAAAAAGTAAATCGGTCCCGGGTCCAGGTCTTACTATGAGTACTACGGTAATAGCTTATTCCCTATAGGGGAAATTCGCTAAAAGGATTAAAATGATTTGCAGCTTTCCGAGAATTATTTCCAGGCAAAAACCTATTTTTACTGGCCTACTTGGAATATCATTTACAAAGATTTAGGTAAAGTAAAGCAAAAAAAATTACAAAGATAAAAATTATAAATGAAAATAATGTAGTAGAGTCAAACTCTGAGATAGTAGCTAATATGTTCAATGATTACTATATAAATATGGTAGATTCCACTCCAATTAACAACCAAGGGATAGATACAACTAACACTTGCACTATTGCATTAACTAAATTCTGCTGTAATCAAGTAAGTGAGGAAGAAATACTAAAATTGGTAAAAAATTTAAAAACAAAAAGTCATCAGGGTATGACGAGGTTCCAGTCAGTGTTATAAAATCAGCTATACAGTAGACCCCCTCTTAACCGACCTCGTATTAACCGATAATCGGATTATCCGCCTTTGATCGTAAAATAATACAGTTTGTTTTAACCGACCTTGCTTTGAGAGCAGCTCGTTTTAACCGCCGCTTTCTAGGAATCTCGGCATTTCCGCTCCCACGCTGGGCGATGAGAACTGAACCATACGCTTATCTCCACAGGATATGACTAACAATAAGTTATTTTGTGATGATCACAAAAAATATAGCATAGCCTATTGTCAGTTTGTCATCATCTTTCGTAGCTCGAGCACATCTGATCTGATTTGTTATCTGTGCGGCAAATTTATACCGCTTGAGTAAACAAACAACGCAACTTGTATGGAGGGCAGGGAAGGGGTGTTAACAACTCCAAGGTCAAGATAGTTTTTGTGCCTCCAGTGAGAGGCTATAAATAAACGTCCTGTCTTGTAACAAAATGGTCGCTTGTATCTTTAATGACGACAAAAGGTTCTTTACTATATTACTATGTATTTGGAAAGCATTAATTAATACATTACAGTAGTAAAGTTATTAAAATAGGAATTTTATTGACTCTTGCCTAGTATTATAATATATTCACTGAAAGTAGGCCTATTTGACTCAACCGTGTTTTGTGTTTATTTTTGACATTTCTATCAATATGAAAAAGGAGATAAGAGTAGTTTATTTTATAAATAATGCAAGTATGACTTCAAAATAATGATTATATAATTCCAGATGAATAGCACTTCATTATGTTATGATTTTAGGGATTGCCCGTTTTATCCGACCTTTTGAATCATCCGACCTAGGTCCCATTAGGGTCGGTTAACACGTTCCCTGCGGCACGTCAAATGGCGGGCGTATCCCCAGTGCGGCACAGCCCTCAGAGTCAAACAAACCCCAATTGCCGCGTGTGATTGGCTTTCCAATTTTGGTCTGATGAATAGCAAATAATGTGCGGGGATGTCCTGCTTTACAATGAGAGTCGATGTAGTTCGCTAAACACCCACAGATAGCAGCACTGCTTGGAACGTAGCCGGTCCCATTGTAATTGTATTGCCAAATGGAGGGAAAAACACGGGACAAAAAGTTGATTTTTGACATTGCCAGACGGGGATTTTACGGGGAAATTTACTACCAACCTACACCACAACAAAATACAAGTCACATACTACACGCTAACGTGGTATAGGTCCACTTTCGGCCGACGCTAGAGCAAAAACGAAGATATACAAAAGGCATTGTCGAGCGTTCCCGATGGTGTACGGACGCACCGGACGGGGGCCAAGCACCGTACCCGATCGGGAACGGCCGCACTCTACGTGTTAAGAGGGGGTCTACTGTACAACCTCTGGTTATAAATTCAAGCTTTGTATCATGAATATTTTCACAAAAACTTAAGATATCTATAGTTATTCCAGTTTTTAAAAAAGTAGACCCAAAAGAAATAAACAGTTGTCGACTGTTGAAGACCTAAAGTCTCAGATAATTGCTGTAAAAAACAAGTGTATTGAATTAGACTATTTTCAAAAATACAGAAATTAATCGTAATCAGCCGTAAAATCACTTGCCACAAAAATGAAGATTTTCATAGAAAAATATTGAAGCAGGAGCTGGCTAAAATAAAAATTGGAAACCAAAACTTAGTAAAAACTGTAGAAATCTTAAATTCTGACTAAAACACATTGGATAAAGAATATGAACAGTTAAAGAGCAATAAATCACTGAGCTAAAATTATAACTGGAGGTAGCAAAAGCTGGTATAGGTGGCAGAAGTCTGTCAAAAGCGTGTCACGCTGATTTTGTTAGGTTGGTATAGCAGCGAGTTTTCTTATCATAGCAATAACATGGCTTCTATAACTAGGTTGGTATAGCAGTGAGTTTTCTTATCCAATAAAATTGCTTCTTTTTAACTCACACCTCACGCAAACATGGCGGCTGGCGACACGCATCTTTGACATTCAGTGCTACCTCCAGTTAGAATATAGCTCAGTGCAATAAATCTAATTGCACTCATTGCTTCCCCCCCCTTTCAACCTGAAGACAGCAGCCAACCTACATTTATTTACAGCTGTTAACAATGAAATGGGTTTTGAAAGTAAAAATTCTTTTGCTGTCTTACAAGAAATCAGTGAGGCAAATAATGCACAGAGTCAACCTAGCCTTTTTAATGAGCAAAATAAAAGAAAGTACCAATCACAAAAGAAACATGAAAAAAGGAAGGATGCAAATAAACAGAAACTCACTATTTTGGCTGATAGCCATGGCAGAAATTTAGAACACCTAATAGAACCAAGATCAAAAAGTCATCAGCGTATGATAAGGTTCCAGTCAGTGTTATAAAATCAGCTATACAACCTCTGGTTAAACCCAGTACATGCTATTAATTCAAGCTTTGTATCAGGAATATTTCTAAAAAACATAAAATATCTAAAGTTATTCCAGTTTTTAAATACCCTGCCGCAGCAAACCTGCAGACTTAGCAAATTTCCAGTTGTCTGATTGGATTTACATTAAAATGTCTCCCTAAAACTATCAAATTATTCCCTATTTAAATAGAATTAGTTTAACGAGTACTTAAGTTTGCTGCAACAGGGAGGGTAAACAAATATTTTTTGTTCTAAAATGTAAATACTGTAGTTAAGTAAGAAATGAATGTATTTTCCAAATTTGATCAAAATATGTTCATAAACAAACAAACTACTCATTCAATTAGTTAATTTAAGGGGGAAATTAAATTTAATTTCCCTATAGGGAAGTAGCTATTACCGTAGGTGGCGTGGTCTAGGCCCGGGACTGATTTACTTTTTCATTTTGATGTCCCCAGCGGCCAAAAACACCATTCGTTCAAATTTTTATATATTTATATATATATATATAAATATATAAAAATTTATAAATTTATAAAAATATATAAAAATTCCGTGAACACGATAACTTGAGTAATTTTTATCCGATTTTGATGAAATTTGGTTTGAAGGTGTAAGGTGGGATAAACTTGAACGAGTTTGCGAACCAACATGATCTAATCATGGGAACGGGGTTTTACAGGCGGTTTTATGGCGTAAAAATTGGTTTTTATAATTTTGAACCTCTAAACGTAAAATTACCCAATTTCTCTTCAGACCTTTTAAAGGGCTTAAAAAAAAAAAATTAGTATATCAAAGTGTTTTTGTACAATTATTGGTTACGGAGAAAATTCAAATAATTGTTATTTTAAAATTCCCATGTTATTCTTATGGGGAATATTGTAAAATGTTGTAGTCTGCTTATTTATGGATATATTTTGATCAAACTTGGTAAATGTATTTATTTTATACTGAAAACACACTTGTTTATCCCTCCCTGTAGCAGCAAGCCTATGTAATCATAAAAATTAATGTTATTTAAATACATTTAATTGGAAATCAATTCAGGTAACTGGAAATTCGCTTAGTCAGCAGGTTTGCTGCGGCTGGGGTATTTTAGTTTTATACCTAGTTCTAAAATGAACTTAACATACATATTCTACAGAAAATGGGTTTCGGAGATTTAGTTTTGAACAAAATCAAATTTGAGAATTTATTTTGTTTCCATTCCACATTAGGTTCCATATTATCATATTAGTTTTCTCAGTATTTAGCTGTGCAACTAAGCGAGTTTAGTATTGAGTGAAGTGCGATGTTTGCATAGAAGTGTGGTGGCTTGTGTTTTATTTTGTGTGTATTTCATAAATTCTAGATTGACATTGACATAAGACAGCAAAATTGTGCAGTGTAACATTGGTAAGGCCAGTTAAAAACATTAGAGGACTCAATAACAGTACTCTCTGCTCATTTAAAAGGGCTAAAAAGTTAAAATAATAAAATCTTATAATCCTGGGATTGATCCTGGGATCAGCTTAGAGAAGTCCTGGATTTGGATTAAAACCCCGGGATTGAGACCCCTAGCAAAATACTCCATAGTGAGTACCACAGTCTAGTATAATTTTAACCTCTATGGTGGTTAAAAATAAATAAAATTTGGTGGCTAAATATATCATTTGGGCTATTACTTTACAGCAACAGACCATGGTTTCTGCAAATTGCTTTGATTTCATATTTTATATTTATTAGATTCAAAAGAGTTGACACAGGCCACAGATATTTTTACTAACATATATGGTTAGCAATTGATAGCATATGCTTGATATTGTGATCAAGACGGACACGATTTTAAACCTGCAAATCTGTTCCATGACAAGTGTAGAGAATAAAATAAACAATAAGATTAATTTTCTCTTCTTTCAGTAAGTGGGAGCTCATCCTGTGTCAATTCTGTGGTTCCCAAGGAGTCCACGTAAGCTGTGGAAAACTGGAAAGTAAAAATCCCACATTTTCCTGCTCAATTTGTTTACCACGAGGTAAAATTGTTAATTGTTCTCTACATCATTTGTGGTTTCACTTTTAAGCTCCTCAGGGGGTGGTAAATAGTCTTTATTCACTTTTGACTAATACTAATTGTTTTAGTCTCTTAAAAACATGATTCAACATTTATTATACTAAATGTCAAATGGTAGAAAATTGTTTGGTTCTGAATTTATTTAAGAATGTAATTCAATCTTACTTTTTAACACATTCGCTGTGGTTGCATCCAGATTTGGTTTCATCCAATAGGAGAAGTATATACTGGGTTCCAGTCATTGTGGACGTCTTGGTTTGTGTTTAGCAAGAACCCAACAGATAGCAGCACAAAATAAAATTGCTAGCAGGCTCTCAGTATTGCCAAATTGAGGAAATAAGCTGGTTCGAAGTACCCGGATACACCATAAAAAATACTACACAAAAAAAATGATAAAAATATATTTTATTTCAAAAATTGTTTACAATATACAGGGTGTTGGAAAAAGGTGGGGACATATTTTACCTAGTGGTTCCTTGGGTCAAAATTAAGAGAAAATCAAGAATAATTTTTTTCCAAAATCACTTTATAAGCAGATATCCGCCATTTTGTATTTTTTACATTAACTTTCTTATCTTTAAATTTTTTCAACCGATCCTTATAAAATTTTGTATGTATGTTAAGGTAAAAGATACCCATGTTAGAAAAAAGGTTTATCTTGATTCAACTTAAAATTTCAAAATGGCTGATTTTATGAAAAAAATTTCAGGAACACTTTTATTTAGCATTTTTAATTCCCTATCAAACAAATACGTTACCAAGATCAAAAAGATCAAAATAAGATATAGCTGAAATTTTGTGATTTTTTGTTGTAAAATGGGGTAGAATAAGGCAGAAGCTAGTCAAGTCAGGCTTGCGCTATTTTACAACAAAAAACCGTAATATTTAAGCTGTTTCTTATTCGATCTTTTTAATCTCGGTATCGTTAAGTTTAGAATACCCTAGCATACATACATACATTTCTTTTGTACATTAGAATACACATATGTAATAAATATTTTATAATAAATAATTTAATGAAAAATTTTTTTTCAGAATGAGGCTGGAAAACACATATTTTTCAAAAACAAAAGACTATTACGGAAATATGAGACTGTGAAGTGGGACTTACCAAATAATTGTTTTATGTTTTTTTTTTGTTTGTAGTGTTAATTAATTATTTAGTGTATGAATGGTCTTTGAGGTTCCTGAGGCTCAAAAGCTCCAATAGTAAAATATTTTAATTAGTGATGGGTCGGTTGCTGATTTTATTGGTTCGGTTTCGGTAAGGTTTTTTTAAATATCGGTACTCGCTCGTCAGTTATCCCCCTTAAATTACTTATTTAAATATAAATTTTCTCTCTACTCATTCAAAGGTAGTACACATTTTTTAAAATTAGTGCTGTATCTTACTTCATGTGAGGGCTATTATATTTTGAAGCAAGATTAGATTAGAGAACATACCCTAACTTCAAATACGTTGTTGTATCTAACAGTACAAATCACAATTGTTTTTTTTTATATTTCAGGTTACTATTCAAGGCTATACTCACAAATAATTATAATAATATTAGATTATAATGTTGTTAAAAACTGTAATATGTAAGGTTTTGGAAACGCCAGCACACCAACATCTTATATCATTAAGGTGTTAATATAAGTTTTTATAGACTTTTCTTTATTTTATGGATTTTCTAACTATTGGTCAGTAATTTTACTTGTTGATTCAAGCAGTTTATTCTACTAATAAAATTGTAGAATTTATTAGTAGTCCTGCTAATGGGGTTTTCATAGCATCATTACCATAGTAATAAATAAAAAAAATTAAAATAATAAAACCTTTTATGTCCTCCTAACCAACTACGGAGGCAAAATGATAACACAATAACCGATAGACGGAAACTGTTTTTTTGTCATTTCTCGGTTCATTTTTTTTAACCGGTAAAACCGACAACCGACCCATCCCTTTCAACCCTCTGAGTCACTTGATGCCTTTTAGTGATGTAATAAAGTAGGTATTAAAGAATGACTTGAATTTAACTAAAATAGTATTATTTATGATTTTATGAATAGATGTTCCTCCATGAAAGCAGAATGTGGTTTGTTATCAGATTGTCGGTATACTGTACACTCCCAACTAACCGAGTGTAATATGGATCGCAGGAAAAATTACATGATAATATGTAATCTTGATACAACAGTATTTTTATAGGTATTTTGTCTTTTAGGCTAGTTCTTTTTTGTTCATTCTTTGTTTGTTACCATAATACCTTAGGCTATTGTTAAAGTCAATTGTAAACCTAAAAATATGTATTTAAAAAAAATGTAAAATAAAACATATTTTGTTACAAACTAACTTGAATAAAATATTTAAAAAATACATGAAATTTAATAAAGTTGTTTTACAAAGACTGTGTTGCCTTTGTTACTGCCTCATTCTAAATTTTTAGTTTACTTGAAAATCATGTAGCCTATTATAAGTATTATTAATTCTTTATATGTTTACTTCGATAGTATGGCTACATCATATCATCGCAACTAAACTTTCTAAGAAGTTGAGCTATCTACTTGTTAAACCATCTTCATATGCTACAGCAGGGGTGCCCACAAGGGGGGGCTGTGACGCAGACTGTGTCATTGAAATTCTTGGGGGGGGGGGGGGTTGCAAAAAAATAAAATGGGGGGGTGGCTAAAGCTAATTGCAACAGTGTTCAACGTGACGACAATAAAAAATATATTACGAAGTTGCCAGATAGAAAGTCGATTAATTAATGACAATAGTTATATTACTTCATTCAATTAGTAAAAATAGGATTTACTGGTAGTTTAGGATTCGTGTATGAAGTTATTATTCAAGATTAGCAAGACGTGAGATCTAAGAGGGAGGACACGGAATGGCTCAACTGCTGTGATAGATAAAAGATGGGGTAGCGGATTTTTATTCCCCTGGAATTTTACCCCCTGGGGTGGAATTTTACATGACGTCACAAACCAGGGGGTAAAATTCCGGTCGCGAACTTTTGAGTTTCGCGACATCAGCTCGATTGGATTAAACGCAGAATTAAACATATATTTTCATGGTTGTGAATTTAATCAGGACACATCAAATTATAAAAACCTAGAGTGTACGGCCTGGATTTTAACCCCCGGAATTTTACCCCCGGAATTTTACCCCCCGGATTTTTACCCCCGGAATTTTACCCCCTGGCCAGATATATAAATTAGTGAGAATGATTAATTATCTTCCTTCTGTTTTAATTTAATAGTAAACATTTTATTATTAAGTACGGTAGCCTATATTAATTTATTTGTAACATTAACTAACCGAACAGGTTTTTAATTTTAATTTTGAGATTCTAGTATTAGGATTCGATCTTTGAAGCTAACGGTTGGTTAATATGACGTATAAACAATCAACTCAATGATAATTGTTTCGAACATTTCTTTACAAAATAAATAAATAAAGATAGGCTACTAAATAATGAAATGTTTACAATTAATTAAAAACAGAAATAAGAAAATCAAACATTCAATTTCTAAAATGGGCCAGGGGGTAAAAATCCGGCCCGTACATCTTCAGTTGTCCAAACGCTAGTTATATGGGCAGGGGGTAAAATTCCGGTTTTTATTGCTAATCTAATTAATCACACTCTGTCTATTTTCATTAGACTTCCAAATCCGCGGGGGTAAAATTCCGGCCGCGAACAAACTTTTGGCCACTCAGGTTACTACGTCATAGTGACGTCAGCTTTGCCCAGGGGGTAAAATTCCAGGGGGATAAAATTCCGGCAACCCTAAAAGATAACGCGTGGTACAGACACGTCCAGCTACACCGCGACTCAGCTCAGAACACTTTGTTGACATAAAGCTTGTTAAAATACAATCAAGTAGCATAGGCTACAATACTTAACACTATTGTGTAGATACTCAATTACCTGAGTTAGCCTAATGGGGAGGGGGGGGGTAATGAAAAATACGGCTAATCCAATATAGTATAAAAATAGATGACAAACCCATTAAAATGCTGTAAACAGCCATTAACGTCACAATTTGCATTTTTATAAACGAATTCAATATTGCACATTCATTAATGTGCAATAACATTATTATTGTACATTTCAAATCATTTATCTTGGTTCAGTTGTACAAACGGCATCGTTTAAAATTATAGCTAACTCAAACACAACTAATAATCAGCTAAACACTGCATTGCTATAAATAACGTAAATATTAAAGGAACCGTTAGAAAGTGTTATAAGCTACTGCTCATGATAGACAGTTAGCCTACCGGTAGGTGCTATATCACAGCATAGGAGTTGATAGATAAGTAATAAAAAGGTGTAAAATTATATTTAGAGATAATAAAAACACTCTTAAAAAAGAATGTAACGAGAACAGTCTTGTTATTCGTTTTCTTTGTTCTTCTGTTCTTTATAAGTTTTTTTTTCTTCAATTCATACAAAAATTCAACAAGTCGCCATATTTAGGCCTACAGTACTCATTGCCCAATCACAGCCTTACTAAAGTTACTAATCACAGTTTGCTAAGCATTATATCATATCGTCATCATTCCCCAGCTGTTGTATCTGAAATCTGTTGTAACATAGCGCACAGCAGACAGAAGTGTAAAACGGAGCAGACGATTGTTGGCGCAAGCGCTGTTTCCATTTCATTTTCATCGAAGGAGCTGTGATGTTTCCAAAGGGAGGGATAGGGGGTCGTTATATCAAGAAAAAGACGCCAACAATTCGTTAAGCAGAGGTTACGAACGCTATATAGATATTCTGGCAATAAAACATTCCTTAAATTGAGGTGACTTATAATACTCTAATTCTATTTATATAGAAAGATAAGTTTTCCAGTCCTGTACAACACTGATTCACGTACGGTCTTTTCCCTGTAATCAAAATTCAAGTACAACTTGATACACACAGAATCTCCGGTTCCCGATCTGGATGATGGCTAGTTATTTAATTTAATTTACATTTACATATTACTACCCAGTAGTACCCGTGATAAATCAAACCCGTTATTTAAGCTAAAGCCACACGGTTATTATTCTCACTTGGTTTTGGATTTGCTTACAAACGTGATCGTAAATGGTTACAAATGTGATTGGAAATGGTTAGGGCCTAAACAGTATTCGTAAATAACATTTATGTAAACATATCAGTGACAGCTAGAAAAAGGAATCTTTATCAAAATAGCTGCTCGTTATTTCATATATGGCGTGTTCTCTTAACAGATTATTAATATCTCATAAATGACGTATGTAGTAAACATGGAGAAAAAAAACTAGAAAAATCACACAAAATGGGTTTTTGATCATCCGTTATTTTATTTCCAAAATAGTGAGGCCATATTTTAATGGCTAAGGACACTCTCGCCAATCCTGTGAATACAATTAAACTATTAGAATCATAATCGGTACTCCAGTTTTCTTTAGAGTAAGGCTACGTAAAACGCATTCTGGGCCGTGACAGACGGACATAAATTGAGATAAGACATGTTTCAACTTCTTCAATGTATAAAACGTAAAAATAACCCAAAATATGTATAATTCTGAGCAATGTATAGACAAAACTAACTTTATTTATATAGCTTAGCTGGGTTTGAATTTTTAATATCTAAAAAATGTATAAAACTCTTTTAGTCTTACAAATAGTGCTGGGCGGGGGAATAATGTTTCTCATTTGTTGTGTACCTCACTTATTGGGGGGGGGGGGCTGTTGCTCAATTGGGGGGGGGGGGGGCGTCATGAGTCTAGGGGGGGATGGGCACCCCTACAGTAGGCTACAGTAGACCAAGCAAAACAATCTGATAAGTTTTTTTCTTTAATTTGACTTTGATGTTAATTATACCATGTAAACAGTTTTAGGATACAAACAAAAGGGAGTAGTAATAGTTTCTAGTTTAAAAATTAATTCAACAAAGATCTGTTAGAAGTTATTAGTTAGTCCTGTAAAAAGTAACTGATGGAAGTTATTAGTTTGTTAGTCAATAAAGTAACTGATAGAACTTATTAGTTAGTTAAAAAGACCAACTGATAGAAAATAAAGTTAGTTTTCGAAGTTATCTGTTTGTTGGGCAGTTGTTTTCAAGGATTTAATATGAAATGAAATAATGAC